AAAATTGTTTAATCGTTTTAACCTAAATTTAAAAGTTGTTACAGTGTTACTAAGCCTAACGAAACCGCAATTTATTTATATTTGAGCTCTGTAGAGAAGTGAATGCAGTCAGTTTCTGCACCAACTTCAGTGTCTTTTTGCCGAGTGGAACCGAAAGTAAACTTTCGACTTTTTGCACCGACATTCTGTCCGCTTGCTTGCTGGCCGAATTGCTTGTGTTTCTGTAGAAACTCTAATTTTAATTGTAAAATTTTTTAAACCGTTTTAGTGTTTTATGTTTTTGTGTATTTTGCAATTTGTAATGAAGATATTTTGAGTTTTTATGTGTTTTTGCCTTACCACGAAGTGAGAACTGAATTGATTGAATGAGAAATATATCTGTAATGAAATAATTTTAAATGAAATGCATTAAAAATGTTATGTTGTTCACATCAGATTTTCTTATCTGGCGAGACAGTTTATTACTCAGATCGTCTATTCGTAGTGCCAAAGGCTCATCGTTATAAATGCTTGTATGAAATGTGCTTTCATACACATACTAGTACAAGAGTTTTTTAAAAATGTCTGATATTTTCGGGTATAGTAGCTCCATTTTAAAAGTTATTCGCAAAGCGTACAGTATGTATTAATCTCCCACCTGTAAATTTTACACTTGCATTCAAAAGCCTGGTGTAGAAATGTGAAACTGGTGACGCAGAAGTATGAATAACGTTTAACTGATAAATTCGAATTATTCTATCAAATTAAATGCAACGAAAAATAACTAAAGAACTGATTATTATTCCAAAAGATTTGCATTTGCGCACTTCTAGCCTCTTGTTGATTGGAAGGATTGATTGTTTAAGAGATTGCAAATCAAAATCTAATCATAAGAGACACATGTGGAATTCATAATTCAAATATGCACTTCCTTAAAAAAATAATGTTGGAGACACTTAGGCTGATGTGAATTTAATGTTTGTAATGCATTAGATGTATTTAGCAAGAAAAATCTTAATATACATGTAGATACATTAGGTTATTTCGAAGCAAGAGAGATGAAAAATGAGCAACGCCTTCGCTGGGAATCGAATCATGGACCTCTGGAATACGCGCCCAGAGTGCAGACCACTGCACCACGAAGGCATACTAAGAAGGCGGGAGAAATAACTTATATACTTCCCCTTTTTAAAGGGCGACTAGGGTAGAGGACCCAATCGCCAAATCCTGGGGATGGAGAATCATCATTCACCGCCCTTTTAGTTCAGACGCCACTGTAGAGACATTAGGCTTTTTTTTCTTGGAAGCAAGCAAGATGAAGAATGAACAATGCTTTCGCCGGGAATCAAACCACGGACATCTGGAAATACACGCTCAGCGTGCAGCCCACTACACCACGAAGGCACGCTAAGAAATAGGGAGAAATACCTAATATGGATTTTCCGGAGACGTCAAAGGAGATGACAGTTATTGTGGATGGATTAATAATCTGCTGAAATAGGATTCAAGATTCAGCACCGAAATGTATTATCTCTTCGATGTAATATCATTAATCGATTTTATTTTTATTGTCCCTTCCGTTAGATTTAACGCAACATTAATATGTCTCCTTCCTCAACGGTCAGTTCCGTCTGTGTTAAATTTGCTCTACAAGTAATATTGCTTGCTGAATGTATTTCAGCATAATCCTGTCTGAGTGATGAAAAGCTGAGATTGCTCAGATTTGTTACTCATTAATTGGTGCGTAAATGGATGTGCAATGTTTGGAGAAATAAACGTTCCTGGATCAAGTAACATTAACATAGAAACATCAGAAACTCATTCATTACCAAACAAATTGCAGTTTTTTATATTAATGATTATGCGTTTAGTTAACGTTTGAAGGTGGGAAAAGATGGCTTTCTCAGAAAAAAAAAATCGAATGTTATGAAGTGGAAATTTTTCCCCCAGAAGCAAAACGCGGGGCATAATTAGATGCTCTTTACTTTTGCAAAGTATTCTGTAGGATTTATATTATTTTTACTAATATTTATTTTAGTTTTAACCTTTTAGTTGTAGCCTTTTATGTCTTATCTTACTCTAACGTTTCTTCGCCAAGATGAAAATATGTTAGAGTGAACGAGAGTGTATTTAAACTGATATAGCGAAAAGGTTAGTCAGAGCGTGTTGTCGCTATTCAATGCGCACGTTGTTATTTCTGTTATGTAGAAAAAAAAATAAATTTTTAGAGAATGTTTTGAATATACTTTATTTGAACCTTAGTGTTAATTTGCCTCTGAGAGCACTGAACGACTTGTGTCGGACAACTAAATTAAAATTAAACTCACATAATATCTGATATCTAGGAACTAGTGATTGAAAATAAACTAAATTATATAAATTATCAACCTCGTAAAGTAAATTATGTTACTTCAAAGTACACATTTTTTAAAGCAGTGCCCTTATGCTAAAGTAAATACTCTCCCTAGTGTTTTGGTATAAGTTCAAAAGATTATTTTTCAACAAAATGTGTCTTTTTAAATTCTACAAATACTATCTCTCATTAAAATAAGGCTATATTCTCTAACGTTCCTGAAAACACGTAAATCTCAGTACAATAATTCCTAAACTCTAGAGATAGCCACAAACTCTTTTTATTCAAATGCAAATACATAACACCTCAAAACACCAGGGAAGGATAATCCACACGCGTAAGAATTCAGCCACCAGTTCAAATAAAATAATAAATTTAATCGTATAGGCCAAATACACATAAATAAATTAATTTACAAAACTACAACGCTACCCAGGTTCTGTTTAGAAGAGAGATGTTTCTCTTAAGAATCATAGGAGGACCATGAATAGACCACTAAAATAAACATAATCAAAAATTTACAACTAAAATACATTTCTTATTCAATGACCAACTTATATTAAGATAGCTGGCCTAACTACCCCTACATCTATTGGTTAAATAACTTTTCAAAGCATTTCTATTACAAGCGAATTTCATCGAAAAAAATGAATTACCAACTTCAACATAATAATTCGTGTACAATATTTTGTTTGATATCTAAAAGATATTTGCTTTTCTTAATTAAATTTCATTTGGATTATAACAACCCTTAAAATTTCACATAATCAAATGCTTCTACGGCATACCAATACTTAGCCTACACGTTACAAATCATTTTCAATTATTGTAAGAAATTATAAGTAACCGAATTATCCTTTTCATGCATAAACTTAAAAATCACCTAAGCACAATCCAGTTCTCTATAATTAAAATTTTAGATACCATTTCTACCAATTAACTGAAGATAAAATAAAATGACCATAATTAGGTACTAGAAAACTCACATACGGTCTCTATTACAAATATCCCATTTGATAAGCTTCACCAAAGTCAGTTGTATATCGGTCTCCGAAGGCGAGAATGCAGTTGCTTGTCGCACTTACCAACTCAAATATTCTTTACCTTTGTTCTCATAGCAAAATTCCCTTTCTCTCCATCAGTCTGAGAAGTAAGGAATACAGTTACATATTGCACTGCCCAAATCAAATGTTCTTCACTATTTTGTTCTCTTAGGGAAAATCCATTTATGTCCATCACTTTCTGAAGGAAGGAATACAGTTGCATGTTGCACTGTCCAAATGTCCAAATCGCATATTCTTCACCTTTATTCTGTTGTTAGTAATACCCTAAATCTTGCATCAAAAGTATCTCTTAGCCACCGAGAATGCCACGAAAAACACGAAATTTCAATCAAAATTTCTCAACAGCTAATATGACCTTTTCCAGAGAAACGAAAGGAGTTCATTTTGTTGGCTACGGGAACGCTGTCACTCTTTAATTATTCTCATGCGACATTTCATACGTGAGCAGGACGGGTGGGAAGAAATGAGACAATCAAAGTCTTTTTCGCCAGGAAAAATGGACTCACATACCACGGCCAACCCCAGAGCCGCCGGTCGAAACCTTTCTCTCTGTCCTTTTTTTGTAATTTTTAGTAAGGTGAAAAACTCTCTCCTGCAACAAATTTTAAAGTCTCGATATCTCTAAAAGAAGGACCGCCTTTAAAATCCCTATTAGCTCAAATTAACTATAAATTAATATTTACCCAATCAATGAAATTTCTCCAAGTAACGAGAAAAGGATAATAATTTACGCCAAATTTCGAAGAAAAATATAACCTCCTTTTTAAATGGGGCATACCCTGTTCTCGTGCTAAACTTCCAGGAATGTTTATAACTGTCAAAGGTGCGACAACGATAGTGATAAAAAAATCAGAAAGTTTTCCGCTTCAGACGAAGCCGAAATTTTCCCTCATTCGAAACACGTGTACAGTTAAAAAAATTAAATGGTTCGGGAGCTGCAGCTGTCCGCCGACCTGTGACCCTGAAAGAGAAAGCTTGGGAAGGAAAATCACCCGCCTTTTCGCTAGCTTTTTAAGAATACAACACATTTAATAGAGAATTCTTTTCACATTTAATAGAGAATGAGAATGCATTAAATACATTAAGAATAAATATACAAAAGTTAAATTTATAAATTCACTATGCGCCGTGAATTAATACGCAACATTTCTACCAGCTGTTTGAATTCTGAATCTCGGTTTCGCATTCTTGCCGCCGAAATTAATATGAGGCCGTTGTAGGTTCTGAGTCAACCAGCTAGGTTAAATTAATTTGTGTCGTCTTGAAATACTAGCTTATCTTTAAATTTAGTTCAGTTTACTTTAGTTTTATCGCCATAAGTGGATGGCGAAATTGTAAGCACATATGATGGTGCAAATAAATGAATTCACTAAAAGAGTCTTTTACATCTTTCCCCTGTTATATTCATCTTCTAGGCATAGCGAGAAGTCGCTAACACAGATTTTCTAGTAAGTCTTGTAGCAGCTTATGCTAGCAAAGGACACTAGACGTCACAATTCTTCACCAAACATTATCCATTAAATGGTCGGATTAACCAAACCTAATAAGTGAGATTTTAATGTGTTTCATTTAAATAACATGAAACTGTTTTCCTTCTTTTGCAGGCACGGAGTTACTCTAGCTCGTGTGCCAATGCATGGGTAGCGGATGCAGTAGGGCCGAAACTTCAGCTGTCTGCCCCACGGCCCCTATCAGTGATCCAGTAGATCCTTTACCACCTCCTTCTCCGGATATGGGTGCAGGAAAAGACAGAAGGGTTTCTATTCGAGACCCTTTGGTAGGTCATCAGCGAATGGGCGGCGACAAATCTCCACCTCTGCCAAATGTACCAAGCCATTTGCCTCCAAGAGCAACCCGCAGAGATGTAGACAGAGTGAAAGGAAGCAGACCTCCAAGCCCTTTGAACTACGAACAGCGGTGGGGTGAAAGAGATGACGATGTAGAAGAAGAAGCGTTTGATATCAGCGACATTTCGGATGACAGTGATGAAATCGCAGTAAGTGAATTAATTATGCCTGTAATAAAATAGTTACATATTTATAAAATTACACATTCGGGATTATGTTTACTGAAACTTATATTCACGCTTCTTCTTCTTTTCTTATTTTTTTATTTGAAGCTGTTCGTATTTGTATTTTAAATGTTGCTTAACAAGTACAGTGAAACCGTTTATCGACTTCCTTTTAAAGTGGTTAATATTGAGAACATAGTATTCGAAAGCACAATACTGCTCTCTAAGATGGCCAATCGGTTATCTGACAGAGACCTTCAAACATTTATTGAGAAAAGAATCATGAAGAGAAAAGTTCCATTTGTACCATGAAATGTCACTAGATTCGTTACGCTTATCTTTTAACGGTGTAGAGCTATTAGGTTATTTAGAACTAGGAAAAGGGAAAAATGATCAATGCCCTCGCCGGGACTCGATTACAATTTAAATTCAATACCAGCGTCGTACAATGGAAAGTATTTCGGCATTTATCTGTTCAACAGAAAATGTAAGCAAATTAATTTGTGTAATGTAAGCAAACTAATTTAACATATGAAAAATAGCTTGTATTATAAAGTGACATTTTAATATCTTTTATTATTTTATTTAACTTTAATTGAGATAAATCGTTCATCTTAAAATGTATTTAAGGTAGAAATAAGAAGAGAACGCTGTAAAAGTTTAAGCAGTTGATTTAATCTCCTCGGAAAATATTGTGAAACTTCTCTTCGTGATCTTTGCCAGTAGAGGACCGCTACTGAAAGTGACTAACATTTTTCCAACGATAATTATCGGTATATTACCCTTCTAACTTGATCCACTTCACAAAAGACCAAATTTGTCTAGAATCATTGGATCGTGGTCTGAATGTGAGGTTTCATTGTATTTCGTCGAATTTAGCATTATTTTTAAAAGCCACATCCAAAATAGACTGTTAATCATTATAATTGTTACAGAGTAAAGAAAGCAGACAAAAGAAACGTATTTATTGTACACTGCGGAAAAAAAGGGGGTGAACAGTTCTGTATCTCCCCGTTCTACTGGGTCGATTGACGAAATCTAAATTGCCTTTTTCATGACTCGATAGCGCGGTTTAGGATATATATTAAGAATTTGTATCACCATTATTCTAACATAGGTGTTTTGACACAAAATTGGACTTTTTCTGAAATAACATATTACATAAACATATTGCATTTCAGAAATATGTAATATGTTTCTGAAATATCATATTACATATTTCTGAAATAACATTTAACATATAAATTTTTTCCCATATTCAGATTCTACGACTCAAATTCTGCCTAGATATTAAATTTTGTAGTTTTTCCTGAGAAATTTGTAGGAAAATTTAAAAATTTATGTTGAGGATTTTTTTTTAGTTTGCGCCAGAATAATTCATTTGATGGAATTCTTAATTTATAGTTACCTACTTACTTTCCTTACTTTTCATTAATGCACGAGAGGGAAAAAGGTCCATCGTTCATTCTTTCAAAAACTTTTAACAAAGTGTGTAAAACCACATTTTCGTTATTATCGCTTATATTAAATACGCCTTTTCGAAACCCGCCAAAATGTAAACTCACGTATATCTTAGGAAATTTAAAATAAAAAACTAATTTTTTTTGAGCTATGCTTAGAAATACATCTATTTTAAGAAAATATTAAAATTTTTATGCGTTATAATTCAAAATATTTTTCGAAGAATTTATAAGAAATATTTAAAAATACAAATTTTTAAAATAAATAATAAAAAATTGTACGAATTAATTTGGATTAAGCCTAAATTTCGAATTCTGGAAGAAGGAATCAAGTAAAGTTTAATAAAAAAAAAGGAGTATTAATAAATATATATCAAATTCAATTAAAATTGAGGAGCTAAAAATTTGAGAGCTAATTTAAAAAAAAACTACTCTTGCGATTTTTACAAAATTTGGCATTTTGGTATAATTTGAGTCGTAGAATCGAAATATGGAAAAAAAATTGGCATGCATTTCAGACCGATTTTGTGTCAAAATACCCATATTGAAACAATGCTATAATCGGGAGATATAGAACTGTCCCATTTTTTCCCGCAATTTACTACATATACAGTATAATGGGAGGACATGACGAAATCAGCGGATTGTTTGGGGTACACAGTGTGCGTAACTGGGTACACCGAATTACTCCCTCTGACAGCAACAATGGCTGTAATCCGGCTGGGTATCGAGTTGAAGTGAGCTTTGATACGGGTAACAGGTGGTTTCAGCTCAATGCCAGAATTCAGCAGCCGTAGTGATTGGCAAGTGCTGGTGTGTCAGTCTCCCAGCAATCCATGACCAGATGTTCAGAGTCGGTGAGAGACCCGGAGATCGTACTGGCCAGGACTACAGCCAAATGCTCTGTGTATCGAGGATGGTCAGGATGCCTGCGAGTTGAAAGCTGGCGTCATGCAGAAATTAAAAATAGGGCAAAGTTACGGGCCTTAACATGTTGAACACTCGTGTATCATGTATTTTGCCATATTCAAATAAAGTAACCACAAGCCGTTGTTACGGTTTAGCACAAAATGTTAAATCTTTTCTCATTTAGATAAAAACGCACACTGCAGGGAAAAAAAGGGGGGACAGTTGTATATCTCCCGTTCTACTGGGCCGAATGACGAAATTCAGCTTGTGTTTTGAATGTCTCGAAAGCGCGAATTAGGATATGCATTAGATTTATATATAACACAGTGCTAATATAGGTATTTTGACACAAAATAGGACTTTTCCTGAAATGACATGCCGAGGTTTTTTCCATATTTCGGTTCAACGACTCAAATTATGCCAAACTGCCAAGGTCGTAAAAATCGCACGGGTAGATTTTAAGGTATTAGCTCTAAAAATTTTAGCTTCTCAATGCTAAATGAATTTGGTATATATTTATTTATCTCTCTTTTTTTATTAAATTTATTTGATTCTTCCTTTCACATTTCGAAATATAGATTCATTCCAAATAAAATTCTTCCATTTTTTATAATTAAATTTTAAAATTTGTATTTTTAAATAATTTTTATAAATTTTTCGAAAAACATTTTGAATTGTAAACTATAAAATTTTTATCATCATCTTAAAATAGATGTGTTTCTAAGTATACCTGCAAAAAATTACATTTTTTTATTCAACATTTTCAAAGATATACGGGAATTTACATATTGGAGAGTTTTGAAATTTGGCATATTTGTTGAAAGCGATAAATCATCAAACGTGGCTTAGGCAATTTGTTAAAATTATTTGAAAATAGGAACGATGTGACTTTTTCTCCTCGTGAACAATGTGAAAAAAGAAAGGAAAATAGTTTGCCATAAATTAAGAAGTTCGTTAAAGGAATTATTCTTGGCGCAAACTGAAAAAAGTACGCCAGGATAAATTTTTGAATATCTTCGTAAATTTCCCACCAAATTTTGAAAAATTTAGTATTCAGACATAATTTGAGTCGTAGTATCGGAAGATGGAAAAAAGTTGATATGTCATTTCAAAAAAAGTCCCATTTTGTATAAAAATCCCTATGTTAGAACAATATATATAAATCTAATATGTATCCCAAGTCGCGCTTTCGAGACATGAAAAACGCAATTTGGATTTCGTTTATTGGCCCAGTAGTATGAGAGATATAGAACTGTCCCCTTTTTTTTCGCAGTGTACGTTACTTTCTTCTATTCTAAATACTTCCTTAAATTCTTGAAAGGTGCTGAGAATGGAAAGTTATTTTCTAAGCATTTCCTTTTTGTAGTTACTACTTTCTTGAATAATTTCACAAAGCTGTTATTTTTAGTTAAAAAATATGTTTTTATTACCTATCAATCGCTTAAGGTATTCACACTCCACGTGAAAGAAATTGAAAAACAATTTCTGCTGTTACTCGGGGAATTCGATTCTGATATTTGTAATTACCTCTAGTTCTTTCAACTTTTCTGCAGAAATATTTTATAAAAGATACGTATGCCATTTTGAAACATATTAATGTACTACATATTTGTGCAACCGTGTATATATGTATCAAAGTAACTAAATAGTATTTTTATTTCTTTTCGCCTTAGTTTTCCTTTCTGTTTCTTTTTGGAAACATTCCACACGCAAATGCATATATTTTCCTCTAAATAAATGTACTTAAATCTGCCAGGATTTTTTTCATGCATATCCATTATCTATACACTTAACCACTTAATATTTAAATGCACCTAACTAGTTTCCTGAAAACATTTTCTTCTAGGATGACGAAAATGTTCTACGATCCTTGGCCTTATTACGAATCGGACAATTATTCATGGATGCAAATTTTCCACCTTTGGAGTCTTCTTTGTATTACAGTCATCGACTAGTAGAAGGAAAGGTTACATGGATGAGGCCTCATGTAAGTCTCAGATCGTACCCCATTTTATGCTTTTAAAATAATTCTAATTTCTGTATTAACGAATAAAGCTTTTTAAAAATTTTAATACGAGTATTAATAAGTAAGAATATTTATAATACCAAAAGCATTGTAGGGATTATTTTAATTTTCAAATAGTTGTTTTGATTTTGAAACCCTTTCCTTTAAATTCTTGTTTTCCACCTACTACTCCCCGCCAGAATGAGATTTCAATATCGCGTCTTATGTAAATGAAGTAGAACCAGTATTTAATGGAAAGTTCAGTCATTTCTGTGGAAAAGCTCAGAAGCTCTGAGTAAAGAGTATTCTGCCTTACGGCTACGTCATTGCTTTAAGCCTATCTTGCTATGTTCGGTCGTAGTCTTAGGTGCCTGTTCGTATTCGCCGGTGGGGTTTAATTGCGAGCCAACTCGGTTAGCTATTTTTTGTGCAGATTCAGCTAAAGTTTAGCTATTAGAAAGGAAAATAGTTTGTAACTTAGCGTAACTTTTAAAGCTCGACGGGTATCTCACAATGCCCCTCGAGCTTTACAAGAATGAAAGAATGAAATTTAAATTCTGCAAATTACATTCTCCCCATCTCTAATGATTGTCATCATAAGTTTTCTCATTAAATTTTTTTGGTTTGCCATGCCTTAATCTACTGTAAAACTTTGTACAACTTTTTATGAAGATTCAACCAATGTTTAATCAACTAATATTATTTATTTTACATCTATAAGTGATATACTAACAAGTTTATCCATGCAGTAGTATAGAAATAAGTCATTAATTTTATTTTCATCGTATTTAAAAGCACTTTGATAAATAAAGACTTTTATTCTTTACTTAGGATTTTCTCAGTGTATAAGTTTAAGAAAATCACAATATGGAATGAACAGAAGAAAATAAAATTTAAAATATGTAATTAAATATTAACATATTTTTCATCAGAATCACATTATAAATAGTTCAGTAATATACATTACAAAATTAATTATTGTTATGTATTATAAAATGAATGTAAATCAATTTGGAGTATTTTATGAATGGCGTTACATCCTGGAGAACGCGTAAATCTCCCAAACATTTCTAGTTTTTGCAGAAGAACCTTTCAGTTCTTCGTATTTCAAGGTTAACAGTTATGGCTAAAGTAAACCTTATAAAATCATTAATAAATTCGAAAAATAGCATCATTAACTATGATTGAATTATACCTCGATAGATTATATTCGAATTTTGAACACCCGTAACTCGATAAGATATCTAATCGCTTCTTTCATCTAGTAAATTGTATTTTACAAGTTAGATTAGCAACGAAATTTTATCGGAATCCTTTATCAACTATACGTTTATTTGTTATAAATAAAGAGTAGCGCACGAAATATCATACCATTCAATCACTTTTAAAACTTTTAATGATATATAGGATGACCCAAGATAAACCCAATCCGAAGCAAGTGAAGTCTACCATGTCTGTACCGTTTATCTTTGGCCACGTTGCATACTATCTTCTTACGTTACATGTATTTTTCATTTGTTTGAGGTTCCGTTTGTCCTGAACACCTCGCATATTAAATCTAAAAACGTGTGTTTGGGGGTATTTTACTCATGGAAAATCCGGTAGATATCAGGGAAAATCAATATAGGATTCTGATTGTTGCGAAACAACAGTTTGCCATTTTGTTAGTGGATAAGGAGCGGTTGAGCTTTAAACAAAAGTTGAAAGAAGTAATAATGTTTATTGTAGAAACCAAGAGTTTAGTGGCGACACAAAGACATTTTCGTACACGCTTTTGGTACAAGATGGGTTTCTTGCAAACACATCATTTGCAAATTGTGTCAGCAATTGGAAGGCACAGACTCTGTGTTCGAGAGGAATTGGGAGCAATCAACCGTCCCTACAATCTGAAATTGGCAACAGGTCTTCCTTTACACACTCAGTGATTCATGCAAGACTGTGCCCGCTCACAAACTAGAAATGCTATTTGATTTCTTGTATGAGATGTTTAATGTAACTGTAACATAATATCGGTCTCTTGAATATTGCGAAGGTCGAAGATCTTAGCTTTTCGCAACTGAGGGTTAAACCGTGTGATTTCGTTTTATGGGATTGTTTGAATGGTAAGATATTCGGAAGGGAGTTTTGCAAATGTAGCGCAACCCTAGGCTATGTTCCTGCAACTCTGGAAGATTTGTACCAGATTCTGGCAGATGCAAAGGTTTGCTTGCAAGAGGCTGTGAATAAAATCACTTTTCATGCGAACTGCAGTAATTTTGTAATATTCCCATCATAAAAAATGTGTAATAAATAAAATAAATTGTATGACATTTAATGCACAACATTGTAGATTAGAGTTCCATTTTCAATTAAGTTACTTTAAAAATAATTCAGGAACTAGACACTTTCATTATATGATTCTTTATTTTTAATGCAAAATTTTTAGTGGAAAATTTTATATTGCTTTCCGAATAACCTTGAAAGTGAATAACTTACAACAATTTGTGACTGATTTGTACAAGAGAACATTTTAAAAGTATTACTTATAATAACAAGAACTGAAATAGCATATATATATATATGTGTGTGTGTGTGTGTGTGTGTGTGTATTCTGTCAGAGGATGAGTTCCAACGTAATTTTGCGACAAAAAATATTCGAAATGGTTTATTAAATTTGCAAGTGCAAGAAATCGCTTACAAAGTTTTTTTTTTTTTTTTTTTTTTTTTTTTTTAATTCGTTACTACCTTTATCGACATCTAGCAACAATTCGTGTTTCATTTTCTTTCATGCTTTAAAAAAATATTGTTTTCATTGACTAAAGAATATTTAAAACACAATAACACGCCGAACAAATACTAATTCAGAAGTCAAACAACAAAAATCAGCGTTATATTTTCAAATTTTCACAGGACTAGATTCGATGGTTTTACCGAACCACCACCATCAGCTGCAAGAGCGCAAATAAACGAGATAGGATAAAATGATCAGATAAGAAAGCCTGGATAGAAAATAAGCTAGTGGCGACATCTGTTGATGAAACCAAAACTAAAACATAATTTATTTAAAGGCCGAAGGCAAAGATGGATTGTAATTAGGATCATTAACTAGAACAGAAAGATTTTTCGGGTCGTTTATTTTCCCATCAATAAAATTCCGAGTTCCATACTCAAGGACTCTATTCCGGATAGGAATTCCTGTGGTATTTATAGGATTCCTTGCTAGTGTGGTTTAATTTACATTGGCGAAACCAAGAGAGCCTTAAAATTTTGCGTCATGAGGCATATGTTAGAAAAAAGGATACACAGAAGTCTTCTGTTGCCCAACATTGTTGGTCCGAAAATCACACTTTCAATTTTTCTGCTGCCAAAATTATTCAAAAAACATCTTCCATTGGTGAACTGGATTTTTTAGAGGACTTTTCACATTCAAAAAAATATTTCTGTTCCTAGTTAACGATCCTAATTCCAATCCATCTTTACAGTCAGCCTTCAAAGAAATTATGTTTCAATTCCGGTTTCATCAACAGATAGCGCCAGTAGCGTGATTTTCCTGTCCATGTTATCTTAATCACTATATCATTTAACCTATCTCGTTCATTTGCGCTTTTGCAGCTGAGGATGATGGTTCGGTAAAACCATCGAAACTAGTCCTATGAAAATTTGAAAATATAACTCTGATTTTAGTTGTTTGCCTTCTCAATTAGTAAAGAACATTTGCTTTAGAAATTTTCCAAAAGAGCGTAAAGTAAGTGAACAAAGAATATACAACAACTTTTGTTTTTGCAATTTAATTTCTGCTGCAAAACCGTTCAAAGGCTGCAATTTTTTTAACATAAATTTAACTGCAATTTTTAACATGAATTTATTATCGAAAAGAATTTTCAAGTGGCATAAGTGCACAAAATATTTAAAAGAAGGCAAATAGTCTGTTGAAGATGAACCACTTTCTCGGAGACCCCGCTTAAATTACACGTCGATAATGTCATAGATTTGGAAATGATTTACTGTTATGCATAAACCGACAGTGAAACATTGGTAAATAATTAAGTAAATGACACTTAAAAAATTAAACCAGGAGTTGGTCAAAAATCAAGGTAATATTGAATGTTTTCTGTTTTCCCCTAGATTGCTCGCATTGGTATGCATCATCAGTTTCTGTGAATTCGCCAGACTGCTATCAAATAATATTAGTTAAGCATTTTGCTGACTTTTATAAAGTCATTTGAATAACGCTCTAAACTGGGGCGAGATTAAACAAAAATTTTGTATCTGGTCCTAATTCTTTGTTGTTCGTTATGTTTAACAAAAATTTGAGAAATACGGCCCATAAATTCCGTATCCGCTTGATACAGCATTGTTTGATTTTAAAATATTGCTTTGTGGGCATCATTTTGAACCCATTGATGAACAATAGTAAATTCCCAACGAATCCTGAAATATTAAAAAGACTAAAAGATGTTTCGAGAACTGAAAAAGAAAGCTTTGCCATAAGTCATTGCAGTCAGAATGAATTATTTTGAAGGAACTGTGAAAAATATTCACCAAAAATTGAGATTTTTTTAATAGAGATCATTCTCAATATTGTTTAGTCACAATAGTACTCTAAACAGGTATAGAAAATTGATTTTATATACTTTTAATTACTTGTTTCTTTAAATGGTTTTAATATCATCCAAACTTCTGCGAAAGTCTTCTTTTCAAAAACTTAATTTATTTTTAGAAATCTACAGAAGAAATCGTTCTTAAACTACAATACTGACACAACTCCAGAATACGAATTTTGAGATGTGATCGTTTCTAGCATTGTAAAATGATCTTCTTTGCGACAGAAGCACTGGCATATATTTTAGTTCATCGCCAAACCGACAGATGACAGTAGTGTCCCTGCTGCGTTCTTTGCCTTCACGTATATTGGCTGCAATACTGCCACTCCTGAATTTGCGCCAGACTACTTTAATGACATAAAAGATCTCACAGATCAGATATATTTTATATTAAATTCTAACCGTGACGCTGTGCATTTCGACATTTATAAAGTTTCGCTTTCTTAGCTATCATAAATTGTATCCTAGCGTCGTCAGATTGACAGCGAGTTATAGCCAAGTCTAAAATTAATAAGTGAGACTTGGAAAGGATGTAAAGGACCCTTTTAATGTGACAAAAGCAAAACAAAATGTATACTGCGAAAAAAAAGAGAGAGTTCTATATCTCCCGTTCTACAAAACAACATTTAAAAATGTTTACTACAAACCTCTTGCAGTGTCTAAGAACGCTATAAAGTTTAATCGCCTGCAAGGCACTACCAAGCTGTTATTCAGCATTTTACTGCAATCTAAAATCTGAATGATAAAAATTATCTCTATTTTGAAACTTATGTAAATATAGGCTATTCTTTGGCGTTCGTGATGTAAAGGTTGTACACCCGGCGCGAATTCGAGAGGTCCAGGTTCCAGTCTCGGCCAGTGCATTGTTAATTTTTCATTCTTCCTGCTTCAAAATAACCTAATAACTCTACAGTGGCGCCCGAACTAAAAGGTGGTGGATGATGATTCTTCACCACCACGATTTGACGACTATATCTTCTAATCCCCAGTCGCCCTTTAAAAGGGGGAGTACATAAGGTATTTTCTCCCTCCTTTCTGCATGCCTTCGTGGTGCAACAGTAGCACACTCATCGCGTATTCGAGAGCTCCAGGTTCGAGTCCCAACTAGAGCATTGCTCATTTTTCTCGTCTCCAGCATAAAAAAGCCTAATGTCTCTACTATGTACTCTCGTGTGCGAAATAATAAAAGTTAGGAAGACGCAACTATAAAATGAATTTTACTTAAATAACGAGCAACATATATATATGAATTAAACAAACATGCTCTATTCGTATAAAGCAAATATAAATGAAAATTTAAATTTTAAATTATGAAATTTTAATTGCATACAAATAAACGATTAGTTATTGCTGCGAAGTAATTTACAATATCATTTAAATTCTGAGAGCATATGTAAATTAAGTGCAAGTATCTAAAACCATAAATAAATATATAATAATCCAAAAAATTAATCCTAAAAAATTTTTTTTTTAAATTTCTAAGACTAAATTAATTTCTATTAGTGAGTAATTGTTGAGCAGGAAGGAGACAGATCTTATCAAGGGGAAGCTGCCTCCAAACTTAACTCTTCAATTACTCCATTCGTGTTTCGTCATCCATATAGGCATGGGTATATTAATATTCAAAACCAAAAGTAAATCAAATGTAGTGAATTACTAAAAAATTTAAACAAAAGGAATTTTGAGAAATTTAGAAAGCAAATTAACTAAGAATCAAAATAATAATTAAATGTAAATTGCCAATGTAAAAATAGTAGAAAACCAAAGTAATTTAGAAACCTTTGCCTATTTGAAAACTTCCCTGACACGAATTATGCATGTAAATTAAAAATAAACGCTATAAAATCTATAAAAATACATAAATAATGCTAAAATAATACTAAAAAGGCAAGTAAATAAGGGAAGTTTTAATTTAACTTATCTTCCATACATTTGTATTTCAGACAGCATTTGCTAAGCTAAGTGAGGTTGAGTAGTATGTTTCTGCTAACTGTATAAATAGAGGGCACTAATATAAGGTAAAGTTGAGTGTTAGCTGCTACCTGTGAAATCTATTGTATAAACCTATTCAGTAAACTCTTAAGTAATGTAAAATGTGTGTTTGGTGTGCAAAAATGTTTCTAACTGTGAAGCATTGTAAAAATGTGTAAAAATTGAAAAAATTGCTAACTGTTACGATTTGTGAAAATATATGTTACTGTTAAGGATTGTAAAAAATCAAAAAATGTTTTTGAAATAAAGTTCGAAAACTTTTTTGAGGTAAAATTAATTTAATTTAATTTAATTTTAAGTTCGAAATTTTTTAAAAAGTTTTTTTATTTAAAAAAATTATATACTATATATATATTAATCCTTTGAGTTGTTGAATTGAAACATTAAAACATGAATAATTGAAATATTAATTATTACAAATAACAATATTTTAATTTTAACTTTAAAAAATATATTAAAATTTTCTATTTTAATTTTAATTTTCCTATTTAAAAAAAAATAAATATCTTCTTAGCAATTTGCATCTGCATTGTTATAAATTAATGAGTATTTTTTAACTCAATATATATGTTTCTTTTAACTTGTATTCTTAAACAATACTATAATTATTTTGAAAAATAGAACGTATTTAGTTGATTCTAATTTAAATTTACATTTAGATTGATAAATTAGTATATTCTACACTCCCAAAATATTAGAATGAATTTCTGTTTTTGATAAAACTAATTAGCAAAGTTACAAAACGCATTAATTTTCCCATTTTATTATAGAAAATTTGAAATTATGATATATAAAATGCCTCATGAGCTTGTAGTGTTGCGTGGCCCCAACTTGTCAGTAACTATGGTAGTGACTGCTATGAACAGTAAATTACACAAACTCGTAAGAAGGGTTTAAATCCCTTTTTATTCCACTTTAGAAACAACAGCTGAGTTCACTTGACGCTCACAAACTACGCCGACCCGGCGGTTTAACAAAAACAGAACTGTGAAACTAAAAATTAATGACAGGATGAATAAACAACTAGATCACTACCTACGAGGCTCTGAAATCGTAACTAACTTAACCGCGTTCTAAAATACAGCTGAGATTCAGCAAGCTTACTGATTAAGCAGTTGAAAGACTCAACGAACTGCCGAGATAGGCACACATTCCGAAACGCGCGGTTCTTAAATTTCTACCTAGCAACCTTCACGTTAGCGATTCAAGAAGCACACATACAACCTCGTTTACCTTCTATTTACTCAACTTACTTCTGATAAAATTTGAATATACTGCGCGTTCTACCATAATTTACATACTCTGGCATGGGCAATTCTAGGGGAAAGTAAAGGCTTGACAGGAAAGATAGCTTAAAATAAATGTTATTTAAAATAAATATAAACCCTACAAGCTTTGAACTGAAAATTCTGTTTACATTTCTTAATGCACAATCAAACTTGCATACGAACTCAGCTGGATGTCTTCAAGACAATATTTTGTTTTAAACAGATTTGTTCTCTTGTTTTTGATAGGAGATGATTCCGGAGCCCAAACTGCTTATCGACACCATCAGTCGTCACGACATTGTACAAGGCGTGCTCGCTGATTGCTGGTTTCTTTCTTCTTGTGCGGCAGTAGCGCAACGTCCGGATCTGATGAGAAGAGTAAGCATAAATACATTATTGATCATACTTTATTTTACTCCTAAATAATACAGGTACCGTAAATGTTGGACAAACTTTTAGGGGAGGTAGGGTACATAATAAGGATTACGAATTGCATAGGAAGCCATGGCTTGAAACATCACTGTACGCCGCCAGGGGGGTCTCTACAGGAGAGTGCTAGTGGAAAGTGAGGATTGCCTCATTCGAGCGGTACCATACGAAAAGCATGGAAAGCTATTCGAAGAGAGCTTGTAGATATGCAATTAGTGTATGGACATATACTTAGTGTACGCGTCTCCGTCAGACATCAACCATACCACAGTTTGTTTGCACGTCTGCATCAAAATTTGTGCAACTACGGGTCATTAAGAAGCAGACTCATTTTCGACTGGATATGCATAGTCATTTGAACATATCATTCCCGCATCGATGGATTGGGCGTGGTGGATCGGTTCCCTACCCCCCCCCCCGCTCACCGGATTTATGAGCCTTGATTTCATTTTGTGGGAAGCCATCAAAAGTGTTGTGTATCACGATCCTGTTGTGTCTGAAATGGATCTCATGGGAAGACTCGCCTGCGCATCTGCTACAGTCAAAAAAACTTCCTGTGTGTTTGAATATGTTCGGCAATCAAAGTTCCGTCGTTGTCAGGTATGTTTGGCGTCTGATGGTGCAAACATCGTGCATCGAAACACCATTTGTATTCATGTCCAATAAATGTTTCAAATGAATCACTCTCTGTTTCCTTTCCCATCTTCTACCTCTGCTACCACTTACCCCTAACATTTCCGGGTATTGGTTCCTATGCAATTCGTAATCCTTATTGATGTGTCCTATTTCCCCTATCACTAACTTCTTCCGTAAATGTTTGTCACAACAATTACGGTACACTCTGTGTATTATTGCTTTTAATATTCAAATCTCAGATCTTGGGAAAATAGAAATTGTTTCCAAAGCTTTAGAATTTTAAATGCCGAAGCATGAGTATGTGCGTCGTTTGAAACATTTTTGTAGTGGTTTCGACGTTTTCTGACAGCGCTGTAATTTTGTCTGCTTCACAAGAATGTGCCGCTTGCAGCCTTTCATTAACCAGGGAAAGGAATTTTATAAAGGTTGAATATTATAAGTTGCCTCATCCGAATCAGGAAAATAGAACAAATCTATTCATTTCGAAATAAAAATCCCAAGCTTTATTTTATACAATGTGCTTTGGGAAGCAATTGAACTGTTAAAATGTATAATTTATATGTGGACAGAATGCATTCATTTGTGAACACGTTTTAAGAGAAAATTGCTTGAAGAAGAAACAGTGCAGCACACCTAGAATGATTCCTTAGAATTATTTATTTCAGTTGACACTGTTTTTCGAAAGTAAAGCAAGCAATGCGAATTCTTACCTTCGTAAATCGCGCTCCTATTTCATCAAATGAAATTCATTGTGGATGCAAAAAGGAAAAAACAAATATTACATGATGTAACCAATTAAAATCTGTACCGCAAAAGTGTGCGAATTAACCATTGGTTGAAAATGATGTTTTTATGACGATTTTGAAAAAATAATTTTAAACACATAAAAAATTTTAAATGATGATTGTATTTATCAATTATGGTTAAAAAAGCCCCAAAATGACTGACCAACTAAACGAGATATAATTATTTTCCCGTTGCTAGGCAACGAACAAGGTATGAGGTTCTTGAGAGTGTTGGACATATACAATAGAAATAATTTCCGAACAAACACACGAGGCAGCAGTAAACAGCCGAGCACACATTTTGCGCTCATAGCCTACACCACTGATTCCGCCGAACGCACATATGCGTCCACAGGCCACATTGATGGTTTATTACTGGACGCACATATGCGAATACGGCAGTCAAAGGGTTAAGTTTGATCCCTCTGCAATTCCTAACGATGAATTATTTGTTCGCAAACTGTCGCGTAACACCTCATTCTTCTAAAATAAGTGTAGGGTTTAATTAGCTTTGCGCAATCTGCGAATGACCTTGTTAAATCTAAGATTAGTACTTACCATAACAACTGAAAGAACAATATCTGCGACTACTGTGTGGCAAAGGTTACATATGGAAGGTCTGTATGTCTAGGGTACCACGAATTCTTGTTCCTTAGACGTTACAATCAGAACAGAGTTGTTAATATGTAACTGGAAAACAATTGAATGATCCGATGCATTTTTCATGGATGATTCAGGATTTGCGCTGGAATGCTACGATAAGATGTGCTAAGAGAAGAAAAAGCGCGGAATGAACCCAGTAATAGTCATGAACATCACACCTTCAGCGCTACCAATGTAAGGTAGTGTTGTAAGCTGGGTTTTCCTAGAATAATCTCATCGATCTACACGTCTTTAAATTCCGTATCGATGGATGGCTTTCCCATTCGTTACACGTAAAACTTTCTACCAGTTCCTGATCAGTCCGATTTTAGGTTGGATTTTTATTGGAAGAGAAGCATTGAGGGTACATATCAGAGGGTCATTTTGGATTTATAATCACATTGGGGGGGGTTGAAGATATCGGAACAAATTTCTTCACCCCATGACTCTATGCTACAGTAGTTGGTGCTTTATTTTAATCTAATGGATGATAATATATGACTATATAGAGACTGAAAGGTATCACTATCATGGAATGGATCATCATATTCACCCGAACTCAAGCCTACCAGCATCTCAAACATATTGTCGACGTTCACGTATTTCCTCCAATTATTTGCCCTATTAGAACAAAGCAGCTCTGTTTCTCTGCTGTGAATGATTATTTAACAGGAATTTATTATGTGAATGAGTGTTTAACAGGAATTTACAAGTATTATGTGAATGATTATTTAACAGGAAGTACGTTAGACCGTTGTAAAGCTTGTCAGAAGGTCAGAGGTGGCCAAATATCTTATTATAAGTTTATTTTTTTGCAACGCTAGCGGAGAAAAAATTTTAATATACAAACTTGAACAAATATAAAAGACAGCAAAATTTTTAAGTATGATTTGTTTAATATAACATTTTGCATTTTGTTTAATGAATATATAACCAAATTGCCTACTTTCATGTGAAAATTTGAGCCAATCGAAATATAACTTTTCCGATTATGTGGAATTTACCATCGGAGGCTTTACTTTTGGAAAGCAGAATATTTTGAAACGGCCAATATCTTTATTAATCTACCTATCTCTTTGAATACAAAGTCTATGTATACATTTCTTTATGTACTTAATTTGATTAAAAATTTCATGATCATAAAGTTGTATGTACTAAAATAATTTGCATTGTTCTGTTTAAGACTACCAACTGTCTACGAAAATCTTAGGAAACAGACAATCAAGCAAACTGGAGATATATAATAAGCACCAAAAATGCATATAGATAATATTTGTCTATATTATATTTTTATGTTAGTAGTTATCTTATAATCAAACTAACCGTTACGCTTCCAGCCTTCGTCTGGCTTTTAAATGTACCGGAAAAATGCCTAAAGGGAACACCAAACATTAAATTTAAAAACTGCACAGTAATTTACTTTATAGAACAACTTTATTAAAAAAAATTGAATAAAAATGTATTACATATAAAAAATTACAATGAAATAAGAAATATCCCTTAATACAAATATTAATTATTCTAATAAATAAATTAACCAACTTCCCGTTGCCTTCTCTCAACAAATGTAGAGTTTCTAAGAGAAATATTAAATTTAAAAACTGCACAGAATTATCGCCCTCATTTTTCCAGGTGGCAACAGAGCTGATTTTCAGATCAGTATACAAAGCATTGGATGAAAACCTGTTGCCAAAACCACATTTCTAAAAGAATGAAGCTATTCAAAGTGATGCGATTTCATCAAGTAAAGATAAAATTAAAAAAAAAAATCTGATTCGAATTTTGAAAACAAAAGACGCTTCGAGGTGCTTCGAGGTCTTGTCAGATGCACCTATGCACCAAATGTCGTAGCCCTGGATCTATTAGCTTACGCGCAGCACGAACGAAAGACACACACCACACAGACAGACTCTTTCTTTTATTATATGTAGAGATAGAGATAGAGATAATTGAGGATAGATAAATAGATCCGCCATTTCTTGATCTATTAATTTTTTCTCTTGCTCATAGTTCTTTGTCATTTAATGTCAAATAAATATTTTTTGATGGATACGTTTATTTTTGATGCTATTCATTACACAGCAATAATCTGAGACTAACTATTAATATAGTTACACAGAAGACTACTGAACTGAGAAACCTCAATAATATTGGAGGTGGATCAACTAATAAACAAATTAATCTATGTCTTTTCTATTATCAGGTAATAGCCCCCTATCAACCACTTTATGGGTTTGGATATCGTGGCATCGTAAGGTTTCGTTTCTGGCGTTTTGGTAAATGGATCAATGTCTACATAGATGACTTGTTGCCAACAAGAGAAGGCGAATTATTATTTTCACGGTGCTCGGACAGAAGAGAATTCTGGGTGGCATTGTTGGAGAAAGCATACGCCAAGTAAGTACTTTACCTGATATATGGGATATAATGAGAATCATAATATAATATAATGAGAAAATCATAATCGTTTTGCTTTAAGAAGGAAAAAAAAAATTTGAACTCACTTTTCATTAATTCGACTTCCTCGAGTCACTGAATTCATACTTTTAAAAATGTATAACTTTATACCTTAACACTAAATTCACTGAAATAAGCTACATGGTACTTAATTGATTAATAATTATCCTGTGATAAATACAACAAGAATCTGCATGTTTCCCTTGAAAATTTCTGATGATTAAAATACTAAAATGACTTAAATAATAATAAAAATAATAAATAATTAATAAAAAATATCTACCTGATCTTACTTTCAGAACTAGCTCAACAAATATGGTTTTAATCCTGATCTAAATTTGACGTGTTACAGAGAAAGGTATCATTATGAAACTGGCAGTAAAAGTATTTTTCGACTAAATATCAACTAATGACTAAACATCAAGTAATCACGACAATAGTAACGACTAAATATCAAGTAATAATTACTAAAAAATTGAAAATGAATTTTAAAGTGAATTTCAAAGTTAACTTACTTCTGGTAGTCCGAGCAAGATGAAAAATTAAGTTCACGCCAAAATAATGAATGTTCTGCATGAATATATGTATGTTTCTCGCACTGTGATAAAAAGACGGTATCTAAACCCATCAAAATTTGAATAACGTAATCTTCCATAGAATATGGGCATGTGAGAGCCCTAATTTGGAATTTGAAATTTGTTTTATTATCGATTTCATATGTTGTAACACTTAACGAATTAATAAACTAAACGATTTCGAAGCGAGCAATGGCGACACTTTACGAAAAAAAAAAAAAAAAATTATCTCCAGCGCACGAGACGGTGTATCAGATATTCTAAAGATATGCTCATTTTAAAACTATTGCGATATTGCTCTATCTAAACTATTGCGAACTGAATTTCATGATATAAGTGCGGAGATATTTAACAAATAAAGGTAACACACACACACACACAAAAAAAAAAAAAAAAAAAAAAAAACGCCCCTTTGGACGTAATTTAAAATCTGAAACCTTTCAGATTTTATATTTGAATCTTTTTTAATTTTCTTAAGAATTGCCTCTTAGAAACATTCTCATCTATTTTATTTTAGCTGAACTAGAAGCTGTCTCGAGCTCTTCATGTTAGGCTATTTGAATTAGGCGTTATTTGAAATTTGGCGACTGTTATTCAATATGGCTTTCTCTATCCCTCGCACGTCATCTCATTTTTCCTTAACATCTACGTAACAACCTTACCTGTTCCTGTATTTATCTGGCCGTTTTGTTTTAAAATTAATCCTCAGTAGACTCACAAAAGATGCAAGGATAAAACAATATTCAGTAAAAACAATTAACTCATAAAATAATAACATTGTAGCTTAAAATTTGAAATTATTAAAAAATGTTATAATTTCCCAAAACAAGTGCCCAATTAAAATTTAAAAATTTCTGTTGTATTCAATCCTGGTGTTAGTTTTGCATAGTTTCATTTAGAATTCCCAATTTATTTAATATTTTTAACTAAACTATAAAGGATAATTATTAAATTTCCGATACTCTATAAGGGTATTTTCATCCTCCTTCCAACATACCTTCGTGTGTAACGGTATAAGGTATTTCTTTCGCCTTTTTAGCATGCCTTCGTGGTGTAATGGTCAGCACGCTCGACGCGTAGTCGAAAGGTCCGTGGTTCGAGTCCCGGCGAGGGCATTTCTCATTTTTCATCTCTCGTGTTTCCGAAATAACCCAATGTCTACATTTTTCATGTCTTGTGCATCAAACATCCTAAGGATTCTACGGTGGCGCCCGAACTAAAAGGTGGCGGACGATAATTCGCCACTATCAGGATATGGCGATTGGGACCTCTCATCCCCAGTCGCTCTTAAAAAGGGAAAGTATATGAGGTAAAGTGGTATAACGGTAGCACACTCGGCACGTATTCGAGAAGTCCAGGTTTGAGTCCGTCTTCGGGCGCCGGTGTAGAGTCCTTAGGTTTTCTGAAGCAGGAGATGCGAAAATGTGCATTGGCCTAGCCAGGAATCGATCCTGGACCTCTCGAATACGCACCGAGTGTGCTACCGTTACAACACGAAGGCATGCTGGAACTAGGACAGAAATTACCTTCTCTGATGATAAATTAAAAATTAAAGAAAATTTCTCTGATTTAATAACCTTATAACGTTTTCCTCAGTTTCCTTCATAGTTCCTACAATGTTTCTAGAATTTTCTTTAAATTGAAAGAGAAAGAAACGGGTGTGATAAGGTCACATAAAAGAAGAAGAGACTGAAGAATAATATGGACAAGAATGTCTCGTGAGAATAAGCTGAAAATTATTATTTTTTAATTTACAAACACGTTTTCAATAGTTGTTAAAATAGTAGTGATCTGCAAATTTGCATACCCTCAACAGTGTGTGTAAATAATTCAGCAGTGACAAACAGGTCATTTAGTTACTTAGTGTGTGCTATTTAATCACTAGTAGCAGAGTGTGCGATAGTTATTCAGGTACCAATTAATCAGCGGCAATGTGTGTGATAATCATCAGCAGTGTGAATGGTAATTTTTAATAGTGTCAAGTTTCCTTTTTCAGTTAATGAAAGTGTTCAATTTGTGCATAGTGTCTCTGCATTTTGCTTTTGCAAAGTGTGCATTACGTGTTTTTGTGCTTGTGAATCTCAACCTAATTGGATTACTAAAGTCACAGATGAAACGCATATAAAAACTGGCTGCTAAGTATAGTTATGTTTGGATTACACACATGTTCTTCTCTATTGAAGTAGACGAAGCATGGTAGGACATTAATATCTTTAGCTGCTTTTTATTATTATTATTATTATTTTATAGTTGCTTTAATATATTAACTGAATTAATCATATGTTCCGTAGTTTCTTTTTGTGTTCTATCCATCAGTATATAATCATATTCATGCTGTGGTGTTTAGAGTTTTAATTGTATATTAAAGCACACTGTATTATCATTTAATAGTTTTTCCCCCTTTTTTTATATAATTTTTAAATATTTCTTTATTAATATTTATCCTCATCTGTCACCAGTATTCTAAAGTATTTACACTGCATTTTACCCTTATTTGTTTGGTTATTAGTTGTTAAAGCTTATGTTAATCATGCACAAGTGACCTAACATTTTATAACAGTAACTCAATTCTTATCCTATAATTGATTGTATTTCACATTCTCAGTCCGTGATAATTTTGTTATTTGTTTGTTATTGTGTTTAGTTAATGGGATTTCCAAGTGTTTAGTTCTTAAGTTTACTTACGTAAAGGAGTCTAGGTTCTTTACGGTCTAGATTCTGTACCTTACTGAGAGGATTTTCTTAGTGCAAATGTGTTAAAGCTCACTTGACAATTCTATAACTATAAATGCATAATTTAGTTTTCGGCACATAGCGCAAGCATACTACTTAGCTTCTCACTTCAACGTGAACTCTGCCCTTTCACAGTGTGCGTACATTAACGGTAAATGTATTATTATTATTATAATTATAGTTCACACATTGTGTTTGATATTATAATTGATCTTTATCCTTTTATTTACATTTAAGTAACTTATCTATATTAATTGTATCATTTATTTGTATTGCTTTACTTGGAATTCATTTATGTGTATGTATCTGTTAGCTACATCAAAATCATAACTTTTTATTGTTATTAGGATATAAGAATTATCTGTATCACTATCGTCTTTAAAATAGTTAGTAACACTGAGCATGGTCCAGTTTCATTCCATTCTTACACCAGTGTTCTCAGAGTGACTCTAATAATAGTGCTGCCAGTACTAAGCACTCAGCATACCTGTTATGATCTCAGTCCTCTCAATCCTATTTTACATTAGTGATATTAAATGATTTATAGTTTCATGTTAAAAGCACAGTACTTTTGAGTTCCCTCACAGCATTAATGCACGTTATTTAGCATGGCATCTATCGTAGCGTCCCCTGCCAACTCCGCTTCCTCAGCAGGAACCTGCCTCTCGACTGCTACCTCACAGATCTCCGCTATTGTACAAGAAACTGACTCCGACTCCTCTAGTAGGGAAGTTATATTTAATAAGCCTGTGATAAGATCTTAGCGTTGCTGACGGCCAAAAACACATCGAAAAAATTTAATAAGGCAGATACTACCATACTGCGAAATAGCCTCAGCAAGCTAAGGAGCTTACTAACAGAGCAAGAGCTTACGATAGCAAGACTAGAAGGGCAATTAGAGGAGACCAGATCAAGTGTCACTCTAAAGTGCACTCACCAGAACACGGTACATTCAAAAGACGAGAATAATCAAGTTCCTGAAGAGGAGGACGAAGCTAACTTGTCACTTTATACAGAAGTAGTTAAAAGAGGTAGAAGAAAAGGAATAAAAGGTAAATCCACAGCAGACAACTGTCAGAACGATTTTCATAGAAAAGCAGAGCCTGTACTTCTGGTGAAAGGTAAGGACGAAGATAGAACACCGGACAGTATAGGGCACAGCTCATTGATACCATTAAGCCTCAGAAACTGGGAATCTCGATAACACTTGTACGCCCTACCAGATCAAAGGAATTGTTAATTCGTTGCAGAGAGAAAGCACATCTCCAAAGGCTCCAGAGCGCCATCCTGAATTCCACTAGTCTTAGAGAGTCTCTCAGTGTTAGAATTCCCAAACCGATAAGGAAATCACTTATAGTCTTTGGAGTGCCGCAGGACACCACGGCTGAGGAGGTAACTACAGCATTTGAGCAGCTTATTCCTCAAGAGTCCCGAGATATTGCTTTCCCTAGAAGACCTCTGCCCAGAACAGACGGTTACAGTAACTGGTTGGTAGAAATCGCCTCGGAACATTTTGTCAGAATTCTGAACTGCAAGAGGATATTCCTAGGCCTTAATTCTTGCTCTTTCAAAGAATACTTCCAGGTTCAGCGCTGTTATAACTGCCAAGAATTCGGGCACTTGGGAAGAAACTGCAAGTCAACTCCAAATTGTGCAAGGTGCAGCAAAGGACATCTCACAAAAGAGTGTACAACAGACACAGAAAGTTGTGTTAACTGTCAAAATTCTAACCAGGCAAAAGGAACTTCTCACGACTTCCATCACCCAGTCAACTTTTCGAAATGTCCTTGTTACCGAGAAGAATTGGAACGTCTCAGCTTGAACAGAACCCTCCCAATGTAAATTCGCATAGTTCGACTCAAGAGTCTGATGCGTCGCGCTCAGGCGAACAATTAACATCTCTATTTGCTAACGAATTGCAAGGTATGATATTCGCCCAATGCAATCTGCAAAGGGCGCGAGCAGCTACATTAAATTTTGCTGATCTATTGGTAAGATTTAAGGCCACAGTCTCATTTATACAGGAGTTTTATACTAGTGGTGAATACATACCTGGTCTGCCAAGCACAGCTAAAATCTACTTGTCAACTTTAAAACTCGCAGGTTTGATTTATCATGGTCCATTGTCACCAGTTCTAATCCGACAAACCGGACATACAGTTACAATCCTTTTAGAACTACACACTTCCTCGCTAGCCCTCACGAGCGTCTATATGCCTCCCAGTGGTTCTATGGATGATCTTCTGCAGGAACTGAATCCTGATTTTCTTGCCAGATATCCGTTTCACATTATAGCAGGGGATTTTAATGCCTCGAGTTCTCTTTGGGGAGCACGGGGAGAAAATGAGAGAGGCCGGAAGGTTCTAGACTTTATCTCGGAAAGTCGGCTAGTTGTGATCAACTCTGAGGAGTCCCCTCCCACTTTCTTTACCACTAGGGCGGAGGGTTGGCCTGATCTGACTTTAGCTTCATCCCCACTAGCACATCTTATCAGCAATTGGAGAGTCAGTGATACGCCGACGTTCAGTGATCACAGGCTGATTCTCTTTGAACTGCAATTGCCGAGCATATATTACACACAGTATCGCTTAAAGACGAAATATGGCGGACATTCCAAGTTCATGCAACAGTGCAGGCTGATTTTGCCCCAGTACCTCAAAGGACTAGACAACTGTACAATCTGGTAATCGATTTGGACAGGATCTACGATAAATTAATACATGATCTAATGGCAGTTGCTCGGATGTCATACAAAAGGAAGAGATTGAAAATATCTGACTCTTTATCCTGGTGGAACGGCAAACTTACGGAGCAGAGGAGTAGAGTTAGGGCTTTACGCAGAAGAGCGCAGGCGGAAATAGACCCTGCTGCCAGGCAAAGTAGAATGCAACTTTACAGAATGGAACACGCCAGTTACAAAAAACTAATCATTAATAGCAAACTGGAAGCGTGGCAAAACCATTGCAGCAGAGTCATAGAGCATTATGGCAAGGTACAGAAAGTAGCCTGTGCGAAAAGTATTTCGTCCACTACAGTTAGCAGCTTCGCAACTTGGCACTACTAGCGAAGAAATTTTGGGCAACATACTTGAAGCTATCTTTCGCAATGACACACAGGATAGACAGACTCAGCACGACAGGCGGACATCAGAAAAACACTATGATAACTGTAATTGGACTACCACTGAAAGTGACTCGAAGCTGCCAAGCGCCAAAAGAATTGCACAGAATAGTCAAGGCCCTAGTCAATAACAAGGCACCGGGCCCAGACGGCCTTGACAACATCTTAATCAAGGTTGTGCATCAAGCATGCCCAAAGCTCTTGGTTAAATTATGCGGCACATGTTGGAGACTGGGTCATTTCCCAACAACTATGAAAATAGCCGAGATAGTTCTCTTTCTGAAGGTCGGGAGGGGCCCCGATGATCCAAGATCCTACAGGCCTGTCAGTCTGCTACCAGCCATTAGTAAAGTAGTTGAACGAGTAATACTGAGCAGACTCAATCATTTCTTAAGCAAAAGAAATATAATACACCAAGCTCAGTTTGGTTTTAAACAGGGTACTTCAACAGAGCATGCTCTGACCA